TCGGAGAGTATTTTTTAATTATTTCTATGGCGGGAACTTTATTATTTTCATATTTGCCTTAAATTAAGTTTCTTAGTAGTCTGGATAGTTCAAATTTCTGAATTTTTCTATATCGAATCGTTCCTTTCTTTGTCGATTCCCTTTATTTATGAAAGTACCGTAAGGAACTTCTGAGAGCATGGCCACCTTTTTCAACACACTCGATTTGCCTCTCTTATCTTCTATGCATCCTATATGTAAAGAAGCTTGTTTTACATCTTTAATTCCGTTCAGCAGAAATAGCGCATAATTTACGTTTGAGCCGTTAATAACTCGACGAAAAGTTCATTACGTTTATTCATTTTTCTTAAAATTTTCATGTTTTTATAAAAGAAATCACTAATAAATCTTTGTATATGAGATTTACCTACTTTGGCTAACTTACCTATACTATTTTAGAGAAGACAAAATTGCATCTTTCTAGTTAGGATGCATTATTAACATTATTACAAATAAAGGAAAGAATATTTATTTTTATATAAAAAATGGGATGTGGAATCCGAGCCCCTTGAGATTCGAGGCAATTGTTCCGCGGAGCCGCGGTGTATACGCCACTGGTTAAATAGACGCTCCAATCCTTTTGATGGTTCGCCAAAGGCTCCGGAGAAAACGGAGACAACGCCGTCCGGCTGGGCATAGGCTCGGCTCGAAGCTCAGACCCCGTCCCAATATGACGAGTCAACCTCAAATCCGCTTGAGGTTGACTCGTCTCGGGTGTCTCTCGCACTCGTCTCGACATATTTATACGCAGCTTAAGACTGTACAAGTCGAATTTCTCATAGAAAACACCGAGACACCAATTTTCATCCAAATATCGACGTTAGAAATTATTTGAAAAACAAAACGAAATAAAAGTGAAATTTCTACACCCTGTATCTCCGATACGAAGCATTTTAGGACATAAATTTATACAAACTTTATTACTTATTTTTGTCTGCAGAATATGTTGCCGAAGTTGTATATAATTGAAATAAATAAAATATCAAATAGTACGTCACAATTAAGTATAAAACTACGAAAGTGCATTGATAAGGCGATAGTACTTATAGTAAAAATATGAAATAACTTATTTTGCCAAATTGTGTAGCTGAAAAATGTGTCATCACTTATCTGTACTAAAACACTTTCATTTTTTGGTGATTCCCAGGAATGTAGTGTATATTAAGCTGTTCAAGTATTTTGTGCTTCAATTACCTACTTGAAATCAAGTGTATGGAAAAATTACATCATTAACCTCTTATAGTATTATTATACGATTTTTTTTTAAATATTTAAAATGATTTTACTTGGATCTTACCTAGTTAATTTCGCTCATAATAAACGCATTTTCACTATATATTAATTTTAATTCTAGTTACTATTAAAGAAAGGCACTAAAATATACGACTAACTTTGTGCATATTGCAGTTTTTTAGGTAGAGTTATCCAGATAAGAATGATATCTTTTATTTGCACATAATTTAGTTAGTTTTCAGTCGATTTAAATCCTTTAAAAAGAAAAAAGAATATCATAAAAATTGAGTCGATAACAGTATATTTAACAAATACCTTAAATACACAGGGTGATTCACGGCCATGGCACGCCAACAAAGGCACCTGCTCCATCTGTCTAAATTATTTTCAGCATTACAGTGTTGCCGCTTCATTTTTCGAAACTACTTCCATATCTCAAAATTTTTGTATTATACTAACCTATACCAATCCCTAATAGTTTTCGAGATAAAAAATAAAACATGTAAAATTGACTAAAACTTGACATAGAATAAGCATTGGTTAAGTCATAAATTTGGCATATTGAAAGCTGAAATTTGGTTTATAGGTTAAGGAAAGACGACATGTTTGATCTGTCTAAATCGACCGATTGGATATCAAACAGGAAGATCAAAAAAATATTTATTCCCGTTTGTTATAACATCATTATTTATACCATATTATATTAACAATCATTGTTATTTTAAATTCAAGCCTATATATATTATTTAAAAAATCGAAACACAAATAAAATTGTTTTTCAACGATATATCATATTCCTATACCTAAATCTTCTGGTTTCTCCAGTAAAGTCATTTAAAAGATAATTCTATTACAATAATTGTTTCGTTTAAAGAAAATCGTTACGATGACAAATATTCAAACTTTATAAGTATCAATTTTTATTCAAAGGTATCAATTAAAGTTTACATGCTAAATTTCTAAAATTGTCATGGTAACGAAATTCTTGAAATGAAACTATAATAATAGAATGATTAATTTTTAAATAATTCTACTTAAGAAACCGGAATTTTTAGGTATAGGAACATGATATATCGTTGAAAAGTAATTTTATTAGTGTTTTTATTTTATAAATAATATACATAGTGTTGAATTTATAATAACATTGACCAATTTTAGAATAAACAGAATAAATACCATTTTTGCTCTCCCTGTGTAATATCTAATCGGTTTATTTATACAGATCGAATATATCGCCTTTATTCGATTGGTTAATCTGGGTTAACAATAAAAAACAAACAACCAATCACGGCGCGTCTCGATCAATTTCAGGAAACGTGGGAACTAATTTTTATAACACGGGCTTTTATTTATCGTATTTTGTGAAGTAGCACGAAGCAATCGAGGTCAAACGTTGTAGTGGTTTCAGAAAAATAAGTAAACATGGAGCATGAATAAATATCATTAATTTGTAATGGAGTGTAATGTAACACCACTATATTAAACTGATATGACGAGTGCATTTAGAATGATTTAGATTATATGAAGAGTGCATTTAGAAAACAGTTATCGATGGTAGATCTCATATATATATATATATATATATATATATATATATATATATATATATATATATATATATATATATATATATATATATATATATATATATATATATATATATATATATATATATATATATATATATACTCATTGTCTAACATTATTAATTACAATATAGTAAAAAATATATATTCCCGAAACTTAAAATCGCAAAATTGCTGGACAATAGGCAGTGACTAACTGCTCTGGCTGTCCGCCTTTTATAGGTTATAATTCATGGTGTTGATCTATTTAAAAAATCGTCAATTATTTCTTATTTTTAAATGGATTTATATCAAACCATGTTAATCTTTTATTGACATCGGGTCAATCAATAATTTTAACAAACAGCTCGATATATTGATGATGTTGCCAGTATTACTCATCAAGCAATACTACTGTTGTATTAATCAATTACGGCCGTGTAAACAAACATAACATATACAGTTTTATATACTAACTAGCTTGTACTAGCGACTTCGTTCGCGTCGAATTAATCATTTGTAATGGTGATGATAAAGCAAAGCAAGAATTTCCATTAACATACAAACTGGATAAAATGTTTTCACATTTATGTCAGTATGAGAAAAAACAATATGGCGATATTATTATATAACTTGGTAATATTTGAGGGGTAGTTTCATCTCGTTGGAATTTGACTTTCAAAAATCCGTTTGCCAAAAATTAGCTTTTTACGTCACTCAGTTTAAGCAGAATCGTGGTTAAGAAATTACCCAACTTTTTGGAACACCCTGTATGATTTTTTAAAAAAATTCAAAATATGTATAAAAACCAAATAAATTATGCTTGTCCAAGCGTTTTCCCGAAAGACTAACCGTTTTTTAAATAACAAATATTGTAATATTTAAGGGGCATTTTCACCCTCTTGGAATTTGAGATTCGAGAAACCCCTCCTTATCGAACCTCTACACCACCACTATACACCACCAGTCAATCCGTTTACCAAAAATCAGCTTTAAACGTCAAGCAGTTTAATCAGAATCGTGATTACTCAGTGGTCATATTTTATGAAACACCCTGTATAAATTTATAAAAAATCTTAAAATATGTAAAACAACAAAATAAAATGTACGTGTTTAAGAGTTTTTCCGAAAAACTCACCGGTTTTTAAATAAAAAAATATTTTAATATTTGAGGGATAGTTTCACCCTCTTAGAATTCGAGTTTCGAAAAATCCCTTCTTATCGAACCTCTACACACTAAAGTTAATCTGTTTTCCAAAAATCAGCTTTTTACGTCAAGCGATTTAAGCAGGATCGTGATTAATCAATGACCTGATTTTTCGAAACACCCTGTATACATTTTTAAAAAATCTTAAAATATGTAAAAAAACTAAATAAAATATACGTGTTTAAGCGTTTTTTCGGAAACTTGACCTTTTTTTAAATAAAAAATATTGTAATATTGGAGGAGTGGTTTCACCCTCTTGGAACTGGAATTTCGAAAAATCCCATCTTATCGAACCTCTACACCCTAGAATCAACCTGTATGCCAAAATTGAGCTTCTTACGTTGAGTGGTTTGAGCAGGATCGTGATTAATCAGTATGTCAGTCACTTAAGGATTTTATATATTAGTATAGATTCGTTATAATAATATTAAATCATAAAAATATTATAATTATATTCCTGCAGTTTAAGTGAAAAGTTTTGTTCCTAAATATCTACTATACATATTATAAACGCGTGTTCAAATAATTGCGGAATATGTATTAACATAAAACGAGATGTAATTAACGAAATATCATCGTAACAACAGCTATTTTAGAAACGTTTAGGTTTACTTATTTCACTGAGATTTATGAAAAAAAATCCTTTGCCTCGGGTACAGATACGTTTTGGAAATAGATCAAAACGAAACAAAATTGAACGAGCCAACAAAAACGCCAAAAATCCCCCTATGCCCTAAGTAAGATTTTTAACTAAAAATAATAATTTTTTTTAAATAATTTACAGTATTTTTCTGTTTATATCTGGTCTGGATATCTGAATATAGTACATCCGTTCGATACATTAAAATTTGTCTATTTCTATTATTTGCCATAGATATACAAACTAATTATAATAATAAAAAAGTTATATTACGAACTAAATTATGTCTATTATATTTGTGAAATATTATTTTCAGACGGAAAGCGTTGCAACAACGATGAGTACTACAGCTCCTCCATCAATTTCATTTGCAACTTTAAAGAAGAAGGCCCTAGTTTTCTGGATCAAAAGGGATGTCGTACGTTTTTTCAATGGAAAACACCACACGCCTGTCCTCGAATGGTAAATACGAGTATGATCTAAACAATAAGTCAAATTATGTTTTTTAAATAAATCCAACGCATTTATATTCTAAATACAAACTTTGAAAAATCTTACATCTCACCAGTGAGGGAGGGGGGGTAAAAAAATCCTCAAAAATGCCTCACATCATTAATGGACGCTCCCTAACCAGCCGCTGTAAATAAAAATGTTTCTTAGAACCCAGCAAGTTGTGCCCATATGAAAAGAGAGTCTCATAAGTGCACGTTTTATCATCGTAATAGTATTTACGATCTGACAGCTTTGGCTGACGTTCAACGTTCGATCAATCTCCATGATGAGCAGGAAGTACTGATTAATCTGTGTGGTTCTGTGGTGGACCGAGAAGCGCCATGTTTTAAGGGCGCCACGATAGCCTTGAAGACGTTCAAGGAAACGAATATAAAACACAGGTAAGAATAGTAGTTTTAGTCGTAGTTTTTAGTATATATTTCTGTCATCTGTGTCGCTAATTATGTAACCAACAATACACTGGAGATATGAAAAAGTCGCAAGCGCAGACCACATACAAAATAATATACTGCGTATACCTCATAAATATTTGTCCCTGTGTAGAAGTCTATCCTGGTGTTGTCAGAAGTTTTCTGCGCTTGCGCATGAGCACTTTGATTTGGAAAGTTCTAAACATGTACTTATAAACTCTATACAGACTATCGCCTATCTCTGCAACTCCAAAATTCCGAATATCGATTAGCCCTTACTCTGAGGATTAGCCAAAATTGTCGAACGGGTGTACAAACGAAAGCCGTACGAAGTTGGACGAAGCCGTAAGAATGAACAGCTGGTGTTAAGCGTCTAGTCTCTTATTGGTCTAGTTATCCGATCGATAATTCAAAATCCAGGCTTGCGCACTACGCTTGAGCAGGTCTAACTGAGCGACTTGTGCCAAATTCGTTCAGAAGATTTATATACCCATTTCACCGGTTCGGCTTCACAGAATGCAGTTTGGAGTCGATATAGTTACTTTATAATGGTTCTAAATCATGTTTGAAATTGAGGTTAAATAAGTTCAAATAAGATATATTATAGAGAGGATATATAGAGAGGATAATCACTTCTATATATCTGAATAAACCGATCTTGAAATAGTATTTCAGACTTATGTTGCCAAACCATACAACTCGATTTTCTCTCCTTCAATACTGGCACATAAATTCTCTTATTGCTTATATGCTAATGTCGCAGTATATTCTTGTATATGTATATGTTGTTTTTCAATTTTTAGATTAGTTTCTCTAGGGAAGTTTTATGTTGATATCGTCCGTGACGAAAACCTGATTTTAGAGTATGCAACCGGTGCTCTGTGTGAGAAAAATTATGTCGATTATACCAGCGAGATTCGATTCAAATGCAGTCAAGTAGAGGTAAGTGCAACATTTAAACTTATTACTAGCTAATCCAGGTAACTTCGTAACGCCTTTTGTTGACCTAATGATCTGGAATGATTGAGACCAATCAATTTGACAGTTGCTGTCATTTGATATCTATATTGTTGATTCAATTTTTTCCATATATTTCAATCTCTTTCTAGATTTGAATATGCCATTTTCTCACTTTTTGAAGTAAAACTTCTTTACGCTCGATGGGAGTAAAAATTCAATTCTTGAATGACGACCATGACGCACGAGCTAACGAGAGGAAGAGTGGTAACGGCAGTGTTGCCACAACTACCCCATTGGGGGTAGATCTACCCCTTTATAAAACAATTTAACCCCGCTATCTCGTGATAATCTACCCCGATGAAAAATAAGCTTGTGGCAACACTGGGTAACAATCTGCCATACGCATACGCGGCTTAGAAAATCACTATAATTAACTTGATACTGTACCAACCTTGATGTGTACCAATATCCTCTGGTTGTGTGCTAGGAAGTAAATTTTCATGCATATTTTCATCGATAGGTTTGTAGCTTTTGAATAACGATCTAGGTAACGCATTTAGCTCATTTGCCAGTTCAGAATTAGAATTTAGAGTTAGTAACTCGTATTTTCATTGGAGGGCACTGTTATATTTATTTTAAACCAATAATCAACGAGCATATTCGTATAATTTAATAAAATTACTGTAAATCACTATAAATAACGGATAATAAACAAAACATTTAAACAAAAACAGACCACACAAAACAAACTGTTGGTTAGTAGTAGTCAGAGATATAGGTGTAGTAATATTTTGGTTTAATGGCTACAGCTACCAGGGCTATCCGTTCGGATAGTCCTTCAATTTAATAGATTATATACACATAGTGCACATAGTGCACACCAATGACTAAAGGATATAAGGACATGTAACACCCATATGCGGGCTGCAGCAGAATATGTGACCTTAGACGCCATTCTTTTGATGGCAACGAATGAGGTCATCAGCTGGTCACCAGCGACAATTCTAGCGATTTTTATTAGTTTGTGTAGTGAACTTTGTATAAACTTTATTACAATTGTGATTTGTGATTAGTTGTTCAGCCTTCAAGTGTAAAAGCCGCAGCGATAAAAAAGAGCCAAGAGTTACGTTTCATAGGTAAATAAACAGTCCGCTCCACCTTTTTAGCGTTTTCTTAGTTTTTTTTATTGAATTCGATAATTATTTTTCTGATATTATATGTACTTGATGTGTGCTATACGTCGATACTAGTTTTTAATTAGTATAATACTACCATATACACCATAGGCGTAGTCAAAACATTTATCAAAAAATATAAATATCTCTTCAAACAGCTAAGTTAAGAAAAATATGTGCCTCGGCACTGTTTGGTGACATGGTAACAATTTGCTCTCGGGTGCTATTTGTCCTTGGATTCTTTAGTTATTGGTGTACACACTGTTTTTTTTTCGTTGAATTTCTATTCTGTAACGTCTAGTATATCACTTACATCATCAGATTTACGGTCGACATCAATTATTAAAAATAAAGTACCGTATGATCGAAAAAAAAACGGCGTCCAGTTGGCTTGGAAATGACGATCAATGACATTTCCCATATAATTTTACATATAAAATGACAGCGATCTTCATTTCATAGCCATCGCTGACGCCGTTTTTATTCAATCATACGGTATAAGCGTGTGGATGTGAGCTGTCATTTGCGGAAGATGGCGGAGTTCCAAACCTAATTTATTTAAAAATTAATTTTCTGTATAATTTTTTTTCCGAAATTTTTATAGTTATTCTGCTACTCGGGGCGGAGACGAATCCAACAAATCAGAGATCATAAAAATCGTTTCAGCCGTTCTTGATTATAAATGGTGTAACTAGCCCGACTTTATTTTATTTGTTTAGGTTTTATATTATTTTTATTTAAATTAATATAGCTTTATATCTATTTTTTTCTGTCGTTTTAGAAAAATCCTATTCTTTTAGAGGAAAGGGATTGTCGTTATGTGTTTCTTTGGGAAACTAGACACGCTTGTCCCAAAAACCACAACGATTGTTCTATTGAAGACAAATATAATGATAAAAAGTAACAATTTTTTTACTAATAGAGCTTTAGTTCATTGTTATTATTATTTTTTCTTTTTGTAGATTAGATTTGAATCAACTATCACAATTACAGCTAGGTGTCTCGACGAAAGCTGCAGATTACAAGTTTAATCTCTGTGAAAATAATTATACAAGATGTTTGACTGGTATCAATGAAAGTATGTAAAATAGTGTTGTAGAGGACTTCAAGGAAGTTTTAATTATTCTTGTTGTATTTTTAGAGGTTAAAAAATATCGATTTCAATAGTTTTACACATTTTTGAAATTAGCTTGTTTTGTATTTAATTTGTTCAATAATGTTTTTGAGCATCCCTTTTAATTCTAGTATTTTAATAAAAATTAAAAATATTGATATCGATATTTTAGAAATATCGATATCAATATTTTTACACAGCCCTACTATTTTTTTTAATTACTTTGTTTTAAATTATAGGTTGTGCGATAATGTTTTTCAATCATTCCAATGTTAAAATACTGCCGGATGTAGCAACGTTGCAATGGACGCTGCCAGAGCTATGTGAAAACGACAATCAGTTGTTTAATAAATTACTTTTCCATTTTGTGTGCGATAACGTTATCAAGAGTGACCGTGTCATATCAATAAACATTACGAATTGTAGTGCCAACGTAGAATATCGCACAAATTTGGTCTGTTCTACGGTAAGTTTATTACAGATTAAAAAACATCTTATGGTCTCAGAATATACATACCTATTTCTTCTAACCGCCTGTTTTTTTCTTAAACCAAAAAAAAATAGATAAATTAAATAAGTTTAGATTGGAGAGTGTCATAAGAATAAATACTATTAGGCGCTGTTTTTGCAGTGGACGCCATTTTTAATAATTTCGGAGCGGTTCGACATTTTCCGTAATTATTATTACTTTCTTTTATTCTTATAAATAAAATACAGTATGATACATATATAAAAAAAAATTATTTTATATAAATCACTAATGCTCAGCCTAACCTGACTAATATGCCCCGCTCTCATTTGAGGACCAGTGGAAAAATCTGGAGAGACAGAGAACAGCGGCTAAGAAAATACGAGTAAAATCTAGACTGTCTGTTTCTCTCATACATAAACCGACGCCTGGGGCCTGAGGAGGACAGAAACAAACAGATTCGGTCGACGCGTACAATTGCCGCACTGAATTCAAAAACCAGTTATAAAATTTGACTCTCTTTTTTTTCTCCTTTATTTTTTTATAATTTAATGTGACTATCCCTGAATTCTTACATTTCAGGAGACAGCAGTCGATGCATATCAACCTTATATTGAAAATAAGGAGAGAACTTTCCCCAAACATGTTCTCTCAAGAAAAATTTTAAGACCTGAACAAAACCTATCGGATTGCTTGGTTAAAAGTCCGTTTACCAATGAATATTTTCCTTTGAATAGAACAGTACTGAACTATGTAAGTTAAAAATATATAGGGTGATTCAAAGCGACGACACGTTAGGCGTTTATAGAGATAAAGGCACCTGCTCCATCTATCTAAAATATTTTCAGCGTTACAATGTTGCCGCATCATTTGAAAAACGGTCGCATCTTTTTTATTTTAAATGGAATACCCGGCATATTATTACATTTTTGGAAACTACTTTCATATCTCACACTTTTTCTATTAAACCTATCTGTAACATTTTTTGGGATAATAAATAAAACATATTGACAAAAACATGATCTTGACAAACTTTAATTGGTACCTATTTATAAAGTTTGAATTTTTGCCATGGTAACGATTTTCTTTAAACGAAACAACTATATTTATATTATTAAGATTAAGTAAGAATTATTATCTTTTAAATGGCTTTCCTGAAAAAAACAGAATGTGAAAATGCAGATCCAGTATGGTTAAATCCAAATTTTTAAAAAATTCCATCTTCAATCTCTATAAACGTCTAACGTATCATCACCCTGTATACTGTAGGGTTCTGCAACAGTGCGCCAAGCATCTCTAGCTCCTATAATAAAAAACTTAGGAATTTTGTTTAAGTGCAAACCTGAAACACTCTGAATATTATTGAATTTTTGGCTTCCTTTCTGATCACTTTACATAATCCTTATCTACAATAATTATAATATTCTAATTCTACAGTCTCACAGTATATGTTTTTTTTATAATTTATTTTCAGATACATCGTATTACACATTGTCCAAAGGTTGAATTTAATTCCAAATACCAGTATGTGTCTGTCACTTATAACAGCGAAGACAAATGTGAGACACTGCCTGATACAAGTGAGTTATAGGAAAATCAATAAAAATTGGTGTGCACTTTATCAAAATAATTGACGAATGTACGCTTCTTTTTTACTTTGACTTTTGATAAATGTCACATAAGCTTCGTAATTTTGTCACTGATTGTTCCTTCAATTTAAGACACAATACAAACGCGGATTTTTCATCCAAATATATTTCCATCAAAGGTATTACAGACATTACACATTTTAATATGGCAACGCTGTCGCTTTCAGTTCCACCAGAGAAAATAAATGCTTTATGCGTTTGCCGCAGAACGATTGGTGGCGCACTGTGGCGCACTTGAGACGTAAGGAGAAATCGAATCAGCTTTGTCGCGAACTCGCCCATTAGGTTACCTATCTTCCCAAATCTTTCAATCGATGGCTAAGATGATCAGCGGTTATAGTTTCGACGTCTTTGATGACGCGCACGTCAACTTTTATTGATCCCTGAATATATTTATGTTTTATTTATATTATACAGGTCTTTTATAAAGTTACATAATTATTAACCATACTGTTTCTCATGAATAATATTTTTCTTTTTAGATGTTTTGTATGAGACTGTCTTCAAATGTTCCAAAGAAAGCTCTATTGTACCTTTTGTAAGTTTTATTTTATTTGTATTTTCTTTTACTTTTTATATATATTCTGTGTATTTTTTTAAGTCTCATTCATGACCTCGAAATTAGTGGTTTCAATCAGTTTCAATTATACTTATGAGTTTGCAATAATTTACAATGTATAAAAATAAAATTAATAGAATATCCTAGCAACAACTTGGGGTAGTCAGTTGTATCTATAGGCTTGGTGCATTCTCCGCCGGTGCTGCCACCATGCGAGAATATCGTGAACAATCGATCTATACAAATACACAGGTTTAAATAACGAGTATACGAAAAATTTATTATTTAATTATTCTAAAAGTGTTAGGAAGTATAATTTGTAAAAATTCTAAAAATAAAAATAAAAAAGTAATTTTGATATCTTCAGAAGGTCTAACTTATATTATAATTTATTATTCCAGTTAAAAACACTTTTTTAGATTAGTTCAACTACGGTAGCGAGCATAGTTTTAATTACCGGTTTTGCTAGTGAGGCCTAATTGGGGCTATTTTGGCTATAACGAAAGTTTTTAAAGATACATAAAATTATAACTTTAGAGGATGTTCATAAAACATTTAATCACTAATTGATTAAAAAAAGTATACTATTATTATTAGTATCCTCTCATAGTATGTCTACCTAATTTTTTGATTATGTAACGAGCACTTTGTTTAATCACTTGTTTCGTCGAACTGCTTGAATCTTGAATTTATTTTTGCTTTTAATCAAATAGGTATGACAAACTATGAACTATGAGTTGAATATTCGGGAAAGTTGAGTTATTGAATGTTATTGCTAGGGCTGCACCGAGTTCCGAGTAGTTCAGTGCTCGGCCAAATTTTAACCGAGTAATATGTACTCGGTGCTGGGCCTACCCGGCCGAGTAAGGCCGAGTAAAGCTGAGTAAGGCCGAGTAAAGTATAGTAAATAGTAATAGAAACAATCCATTTATGCATGTCCAAAACAGAAAGAAATGAGACTCACAGTGGCAAATAATAAAATAAACAAAAAGTTATTCATTCATAACTTTAATTAATGTATTTTAGCAAAGTAATAATAATAAGTATAAGTAATAACACAAACACAGTGAAATAATAATTTAATACTTATAATCTAAAAGAGGTCAGCACTCTAACTCATTTTAATATAACTTTAAAGGGTATTATTAATTGTTTGAATTATTTTTCACTTTTAAATTAGTTACACATATAAGTTTTGCTTAAAACAAAATCACCGTCGCCACCGCACCTTAAAAGAATCAATTCAGAATCCAGCACATTAAAAATATCAGTTTGCATGGAGAACCGAAAATTGATGGAGAACCGAAAACCAGAAAATTGAAAACAAACGAGGTCATTGGTTTGTAGTCGGGGAATCCCAACCGCTTGCCAATCATAGGCAAAACAAACAAGGTCATTGGTTTAAGGCCGGGGAATTCCGGGAATTTTAACTAGCTTTCTTTAATGTTAAATTATATATTTATATTATGTATAAAATATAATATTATTATGTTATGGTGTATAGTACCGTATGATCGAAAAAAACGGCGTCCAGTTGGCTTGGAAATGACGATCGATGACATTTCCCATATAATTTTATATATAAAATGACAGCGATCTTTATTTCATAGCCATCGTTGACTCCGTTTTTATTCGATCATACGGTATAATTAGTATATATTGATAAAGGCCGTATAACTGTTAAGACTATTAAAAACGCGACAATTCCACTACTCGACAGCCGAGTACTAGGTACCGGCCATTACCTTTAGCCGAGTACTCTGTCAAGTTAAAAAACAAGGCTCATTACAGCCCTAGTTATTGCACCCAACAAAGCCCTAATTACGCTCTCCTTTACGCGTTAGCATTTTTTCGGCAATTTTATTAACATTTGAAATTGTCACAACCAACACAACACGATGCGACGCCTGGTTCGAATTCTTTTTCACTTATTTTTTACTACCCGAAACAGCGTTACATCACACAAACTTCGTACCTGAGTGTTTTATAGTCTCAATAACTGTACTAGCAAGAAACTAAAGTACTTAAATATTATGCCAAAACCACGATTTGAATACTATTTTATGCGATCAACATGACGGCGGCGTGAAGTACATTATGATCATTTCTGATTTTTGCCGTAGAGTGCGCTGCGGTCGGAATTTGTTGAAATCAACTGAAATGCACCAGGTCTATAGAGGAAGCCTAATAATTAGCTTATAAAACAAACTTTTTAGCTTACTTCGGGTTTCTCTTATACCGATTCTGAACCGTCCTAGAATTGTGATGCGTATGCGCAGAAGGAAATATGAAGATATTATTTCATTTGCGCATGCGCTGCAGAGTTCTTGGACGGTTCAGAATCGGTCATAACAAGAACCCGAACAAAGCTATTATTTCTATCCAGAATTTCTCTTGACGGATGATAATCAAAGGCCAGAATTACATTACTTCCAAATTTTGATGCATAATTAGTGGAAAAAGTTAAAAGTTTGTTAAGTTTTTCTACTAATTGAAAAATACTACCATTAATTTTGACGTTCTGAATGCTTATATTGAAATTAGAGGAACAAACTTGTAGACTAATTGAAACCACTTATTATATCTTTGCAGAATGACAGCTGTTACATAAGTAATAACTACTTGAGACCTGACTACTGTAAATTTTTCAGTTCTCGGCGTCCTTATGGGTCTACACATATCGGCCTAATAGTTGGTAAGTTTTATACAGGGTGTTCACAGTTATAGATAAATATATAAAGATATGGAAAAATGTTCCTATAAATATAAATCCGTAAATGATAGATACAGTATGTTAAAATTAAAAAAAAATGTTTTTTGCATTTATCTTAAATACCCTCTAGCTGACTTTCTTGGAATGTGTCACTGTTTTTTCTAGGTAAACTTGCCTAATATTTTTTTCACACTTATACATATGTAAAAAATCTAATTTTGGTTTAACTTATTAGTTTTTGTCTTTTTTGTAGGACTATGCCTGAGCTTGTTAGTTATAGTTTCCGTTATTGTGTTCATGTATCTGAAGAAATTTCATTTTAATTATAAGCCTTGTGATACATACAGTGCAGAATATAAAGTAAGTCTGTAACAAAATATCACTGCACGCCTCTGTTATGGCTGGTTCATACTTTCGATTTTAAACCTAACACTAACTAACGTGGTCATGCTTCTAATGCATCGAACATTAGCTTTAGTCCTAACAGGTCCTAAGAAATATGGGATATTTTATATTCTAAGGGTAATGCTAATACAAAATTAATTAACGCATGCTCAAAATAGGGATTTTAAGAATTTTCGAAATAATATTTGACATATTGAATTTAACGGTTTATAAATGTTAATAATAATTACGTCTCTACTTTTTTGGTCTAGAAATTATTAATTTTAATTCACAAACAAATCAATATTTTCATTATGACGATTAGTCCTTAGTTTAAAATTCTAAAAATAAACTACTTAAAACAATTAGCGCATATTTTCTAAAAAAAATATTAATTTGAAAAACAAAACACTTTGAATTCTCTGACTTACGATTTTAACTAGTATGAATACTGTGGGGAATTCGAAACAATAAGCCTACGCGCTGATCTGTAATTTTTAGTCGGCCGACTATTTAGTTTGGAAAAGTGAAAGCAATAAATACATACTTATGAAGTCGATCGGCCGACTATTTGATTGCATGTGAGCGCGGCTCCATAAGGATATATTGGTTACAAATATGCAACTAACTAGTTGGCCGATTAAACATTTCCTGTCAGCGCATATATAGCCTAAGGCTACGCAATGTAATCAAATATTAGGCCGATCGGCTCCATAAGAATGGATTGTTTTCACTGTTGCAACTAAATAGTGGGCCGACTAAAAATTACATGTCAGTGCGTACACTAATTATCATAAAAAACACGCAAGAAAAAGGCAGAAAAATGCATGCTTCATTTAGAAATATGTAATAATTATTTTTATTCAAATATGCGATAATTGTTTTGTTTGTATATACAGGGTTGTTCACCACATACGACACGGAGTATTGTAGTTAAACGATTAGATTTTTGCAAATTGTAAGTTTTGGGTTCGTTGAAGGACTATTAGATCTACAATTTAAAAATATTTTTACAAGATACAGAGTGTCCCAAATAAATAAAAAATATCAAAGTTGTATTTTTTTAAACGGAACACCCTGTATATCATTACATTTTAGTTTCTACGATTAAAATAAAGGTAAATTTGATTAAGGTTTACCGCAATTTTAATCTTACCGTTTTTGAAATATTTTGGTTTTTGTCAAAATACAGTAATAATTTTAATGCTTCATTTCTCTAGGCGTATTTAAGTTTTTAAACCGAAATATTGTAATAAAGTATTTCTATTTATTAAATTTTGTGTTGCAATAATAAAAATTACACTACCTTATACAGAGTGTCTAAAAATTTATTTTAAATTATTACTAGCTTTAAGCGGCAATAACTTGTTTAATTTAAATGGAACACCCTGTATATTTTATGATAATTAGATGCACAATTTATTTGTCTATCAAATTCTATTATACCATTTTTTACCTATCTCTTCAAGTTTTCGTAGAAAATGCATTTTCTTATAATTTATACCTCATTTATCAGTATACCCATGGAATATTGACATTTTAGATTACTTTTATAGATGTAACGGATATTCAAAGAGTACAGATACTAAAATTGTCGATATAGTTCGATTATTTCATTAAAAAATAAAAAAAAACTCTTTAAATATTTGTAAAAGGGGACCAATTAATATAATAATACATATGTAAAAGGGGACCAATTAATATAATAAAGTATTCAAAGGACATTAATTGACTGTTTGCGTTGATTAATAATAATTGCTCCAAACACTAAAAAACTTAATTTTGTATGTGTATTAGAGAGTGTGGTACAAAGTAACACCTTATAAATTTTATTTCATTTTTTGACGAATGGTCATTTATCACAACAGAGACGTTCATTTTCATACCTTATTCTTATATTGATTTCTGATTGAAATCCACATTTATTTAGAATAATTTATTAACTAACACAATTAAGTATGTAGTTAATTAATATTTGTGCGGAAATAATGGTGGTATATTTAATTAATGGTATACATTTTTATAAAGATTTAAATGGTTTTCTTTTTGTATAGAAATGGGCTAGAAATATTATATTTTTAGCACCTGTACATTTTGTACGTTTGTTGCTTTAAAAACAATCTAAAATGTCAATATTCCATGGATATATTGATAAATGAGGTCTAAATTATAAAAAATGCATTTTCTACAAAAACTTGAAGGGATAGGTAAAAATGGTATAATACTATTTGATAGACATTTAAATCGTGCATCTGATTATCTTAAAATATATAGGGTGTGCCATTTAAATTAAACAAGTTATTGCCGTTTAAAGCTAGGAATTATTTAAAATAAATTTTTCCACACTCTGTATGAGGTAGTATTATTTTTATTATTGCAACACAATAACTGATCAATAAATAAACTTCAGTAAATATTTAGTATTAAAAAGTTTGATAACCTTGTAGAAATGAAGCTCTAAAATGTTTACTGCAATTTCACAAAATTGAAAATATTTCGAAAACAGTAAGATTTAAGTATGATAAACTTTAATCAAATTTACCTTTATTTTAATCATAGAAACTAAAAATGTAATAATATACAGGGTGTTCCATTTAAAAAATACAACTTTGATATTTTTTATTAATTTGGGACACTCTGTATCGTGAAAAAATATTTTTAAATTGTAGCTCTAATAGTCCTTCAACGAACCGAAAACTTACAATTTGTTAAAATCTAATCGTTTAGCTACAATACTCCGTGTCGTATGTGGTGAACAACCAGTGTATTTTTAAAGTTAGGTTAACTCAAAACATATGTTTCGTAAGAGCGCAAGCGCATATTAGAATATTACTTATATTAATGTTAAGTTGGTTAGGGCTAATACGCGAAGTATGAACCATATATCTTATAAACTAAATAAGTTAATATTGTATTTATATGAGAAAGAACCTCCGATAATAGACAATATATCTAAGGATTTTTTTTATTTAGAACGTCCAAGACTAAGCTTCTCCATGACAGACGGCATAAATTAATGTTCCTCCAACGACTGACAGTACTGTCAAACCTGTCTGGATATACAGACAAGATAGATGTTCCTCTACAAAATGGTATACGATAAAGTAGGCAGGTAACCAAAGGCCTATAAAGGACGAAAAATGGCCAAATAATACATTAAACTTAAAAACAACAATTGTTGACTTGAGACTCTTTGACGTAATAGCTTGTCAAAATTAATATTTAAACGGGAAAAGGTCTCAAAAGTTCGTTTAATGATTTATTGTGTGAAACTTTTTATTTTTTTTCTTATTCGTTGTTTATGTTTTCTTTATTTATATACCGTATGATCGAAAAAAATGGGGTTCAAAGACGGCTGGAAAAATACAATTGATAATTTTAGCGAGGTCAGTATGTAGACCTCATTAACACTAATTATAGAAAGATTTAAAAAGGATAGAACGTTTCCAGACACACAAATCTATTTTCAAAAAAAACTATTTTCTCGAATTTTAAACTACACTGTTTAAAAATCATTTTTACGCAATATAGAAATAAATTACAACCTTCTTAATGCCAACTAAGGCAGTAAGCGCCTTTACAAAATAAAAAAGAGAACGGGCAAAGTAAATGACGTCTAGGGCTTGACCTCGCCAAAATTATTATCGATAGTCATTCCCCATCAGTCTTTTACCATTTTTTTCGATCAGATCATAACTCACAGTATTATATTTTTCCTTTTCACTGATATTTTTAGAAGTGTTTGATCACAAAACAGGGTCCATATTTTTATAAGCTTTAACTGCTTTCCATTCAGTAATCAAAAAACCAAAATATATTGAAGTTTAGAATAGTTTTGTAATCTAGATGGAGATGATGGAGACTGTTTTATTAGTTATTTATTATAAGTTATTTTTTGAGGGCTTTACTAAGTTTTACCATATACAGAGTGGTCCGAACTGTATTCCGGAAACTTCGGTGGCATATTCTGCAGATTAAAATAAGTAAAAAGTTCGTATAGGTGTATGTCCTAAAATGCTTAGTTGTGGAGATACAGGGTGTAGAAGTTTCATTTTTATTTCGAGATTTTTTCCCAATAATTTCTTAAGTAACGTCAGGATTTGGATGAAAATTGGTGTCTGGGAGTTTTTTCACATGAGAAATTTGATTTTCATGTCAATATGACTCCTACTTATAGAGGGCGCCATATATTACCTACATATTTGTTAACTTGTTTGAAGACTAATATCTTTTCGTCCATATCTGTATAAGACTACTGAGTAAGAAATACATTTACGACTTTTTTTACATAAAAAAGGTCTCTTGGTAAAAGTCGCTACGAGTAATGGTTCTCGAAATATTTGGAATCGAAATTATGAATACCTGTCATGATTGATATAAATTAAACATGTTGTCTAAATAGTTATTAGACTGAAATCATAAATTTGAAATCTGTTTGTACCAAAAATTCAACAAAAACTGTTTAATCATCATTTTTTTGCAGAAAAATTTATGATTAATTTAAAAAAATAAAATATTATTTCAATCAAATAACTATACTCAGCGTGTGCTTATTTTTGTGAATCATGACATGTATTGATTATTTCCATTCTAAATATCTTCAGAACGGTTGCTCATAATGATTTTTACCAAGAGACATTTTTTACGTAAATAGTCATGGAAATTTATATTTTTTCAGCCGGTAGTTTTATACAGGTACGGACGAAAAGTTATTACTCTTCAAAACAGTTAAAACACATGTAGGTAGCGCCCCCTACAAATAGAAGTCATTTTGACATCAAAATCAAATTTCTCGTGTCGCAAAACTCCCAGACACCAATTTTCATCCAAATATTGGCGTTACTTAATTATTTCGAAAAAATCGAAATAAAAATGAAACTTCTACGCCCTGTATCTCCGAAACTAAGCATTTTAGGACATACCTTTATAGGAACTTTTTTACTTATTTTTATCTGCAGAATATGCAGTCGAAGTTTCCGGAATACAGGTCGGACCACCCTGTATAGTTTGCACAACGATCGTGCAACGGTACGTCATCATTATTTATCTAATATCCGTTTTAGGGTAGGTCTGAGATCAGATCATGCTAGAAAATTTATATCCATCACCCGAATAGAGAAATTTAAGGGTAACTTAAGTTCCATTAAGTCGCTACACATGAGACGAGATCATAATTTGAAAAAAAGTATATATAGTATACAAACCTTGTCATCTTAAAACTGTTGTCTGTATTTTAACATGTTAGATAGTTATGGAGATAAGTTAATCTTAAAAAGAGACAAAAAGTATTGCCCGATTATGCATCATATTAGTTTTTAAACTGTGCAAATAGGTGTTTCAAATAATATTATAGGTAGAGTTAAACCATTAATATTCTAACCATTAGCAATTAGTCATACCTAAAAGTTTTTATAACATCACATAATATTTTTGGCCATCCAACAAGCATCCAACCAAAACTATTAACATATGCAAAGCACATTTTTCAATTTCGCATCATGACAGTTGTCACAAAAATGCATTAGCGTAACTAGCAATTCATCTTGGGGGGGCCTAGGGCTTTTGTAAAAAAAAAAACGTAGAATATGTACAGTGTGTCCCATTTTGGTTGAAATCATACGGTATCTCCGATAATAGTGAAGATAGAAGGGTGCGGTTTGCACAAACCTGTCTCACTTTTTTGTCAAACGGAATATGCCGTAAACAAAATTTTCATAGCCCTCTTTGTTTCTGAGCTACAGGGTCTTTTTGAAAATTTTGTAATTTGGGACACCCCCTGTATCTCTGTTATTGTTAAAGCTATCGAGGTGAAAACAGTTTATTGTAGAACTTTTTACGTAGAATACAGTGGCGTAGTCTGTCAGTCTACGAAAAGAATATTTTTAAAGATATGGACTAAAGTTATGTTTTCCTAAATGGAACACCCTGTATGTTTATAAATTATATCATCTGACTTACCATAAGCTTCTCACAAATATATATCACTCTATATTTATTTTCACTATTTACTGCAATATTTAATAGTTTTTATTAAAATATCATATTTATTAGTAGGCCATGATTGAAAAATGATGAAACTAAAGAATTATTAAAAGTATACTGCTATCTGTCTCTTGTTTTATTTTGGAAGCCATTAATAAATTCTTTATATATTAGGGAAACTTAACTCTCTACCGCTATTTGTAAATCTTGGAAGCTACCGCACAGGGAATTTTAGATATTCCTTTAGCTAATTTACGTGAAATATACTTTCAGCAAGATGAGGTTCCAGCTCACAACTTTGAAAATATTAGAATTTTGCTAAACTATTATTTCTCAAATTAATGAATTAATCCCAACATATGGAACCAATGAACCCATATGATGGCCCCACTGATTCCCGGATTTGTTCGTTCTCGATTTCTGATTTTGGGTTTTTTTGAAATATGAAGTATATCCTGACAACTACAACAATGTCGAACACCTGAAAAATGCTTTAATAATGCAAGCTTTTAGATATTTGCAAACGCATTTCGTTATAATAAATTTCGTTATAAGAAAAAGAAAAATATATTCACAGATTCAGTGGTAACAGTAACACAAAAGTGTAATATATTAATCCCAAATAAAATTTGAATATGTGTAGATTATTTTAGTAAATACCTACCATTTTATTTTTTTTTTGTTATTTATCACGGCCTACTAATAAGAAAATGATATATTTTAAATATTGCAGTAAATACTGAAAATAAATATAGAGTGATATACATTTTTTAGAAGCTCATAGCAAGACAGATCATATTATTTATAAATATACAGGGTGTTCCAAACCAAACCAAAAACCTAACTTTAGTTCATACTTTCAAAAATATTTTTTTCGTAGAAAACCAGTCTACGTCACTGTATTCTACGTAAAAAGTTCTACAATAAACAGTTTTCACCTTCTCGATACCTTTAACAATAACAGAGATACAGGGGGTGTCCCAAATTGCAAAATTTTCAAAAAGACCCTGTAGCTCAGAAACGAAGAAGGCTATGAAAATTTTGTTTGCAGCATCTTCCGTTTGACAAAAAAGTGGGACAGGTTTGTGCAAACAGCATTCTCCTATCTTTACTAATAACGGAGATACCGTATGATTTCAACCAAAATGGGACACCCTGTACTTATAGAAAAATTAACACATTTTTTGAATAAAATGTTGTGACAACATAAATTTCTTTATTAATAAATTTAATAGACTTGGTTATCCCACTGCTATGATTATTATACTGGTTATCCAACTATCCCACGTACGCAGGGGCGGATCCAGGATTCTGAAAAGGGGAGGCTTGTCTCAAAGTACATACTCTAGAGTCGTTTGTGACAAAATAAATTAATAATATATAATACAACATAGTATATAATGTTATATAATAATTATTACAATAATTAATAATATAGTATTCAATTATATACAGGGTGCTACAAATTCGAGGTACGAGCATTGGTATCTCGGAAACCGTAATAGATACGAAAATGATTAAATTGGGGCAAAGTTGCGCCTTAAGATGTTCACCAAGATGCCATCAAAAAAGTTTTAAAAATTTCAAGGATTGCTCAGTTTTTCGGAAAAAACGGATTTTTTGGAAAATCAATTTTGTTTCTTTCTGTCGTTACTTTTTAGAAAATCAAAAAACTAATTACACATTCTCATAGCTACTTTATTAGGGCTATCTGATAGTACTTTAAGATTTTCAAACTAGCTGATAATTTGTGAGATACAGAGGTCAACTTAACTTTTTTAAATACGGATCTGCATTTTTTATTTCAAATTTTGAAAGAACTCGGTCTCCTGAGTACAATGATGTGCTACACTTTATACTTTTTTTTGTTTTGGGTACCATAAAAATATCAAAACTATTTAATTATTATTTTAAATAATTTCAAGTACGACTCTGTTTTTTTAAATCATTTAATCTAATTATATTCATCGTAACAATATCGATTAGAGCTAATTAACATTGAATAAGGAAAATCGAGCCAATTGAAAGATTCAAATAAATAATATCCAAATCAGCAATTTAAAGATATTATTTTTAACTTTTTTTATTGTGAATTTGAAATCTCAGTGTAAGCTCTAATAATATTCATAATATTAATCGTAGTTAGTATAAATAAATCAACTTCTACAAACTAGTTTCTAATGTTCTACATATTCGAAAGGGTTATTGCACAAATTTATTTTTTGTTCAATCTTATTTATAATTCTTTGAACATAACTTCTTGTTATAGTTCCGAATGCATTTTGTAGTCTTTATTGTAAATGTTGAAATGTATTGATTTCACTTTTATAAATGACGCCAAGTAATGCCCCTTTAGTTATTGCATTTCATTTACTGTATTCAATGTTTTACCACACATCATTGTTAAGTTTGAAAGCTTATCAATATTGTAACGATGAATAGATCTTAAAAAAAACAGAGCCGGACTTGAAATTAGTTTAAATAAATTATGTTCAAATATCCGAAACAAAAAAAGATATAAAGTGTGGCATATCATTGTACTCAGGAGACCGAGTTCTTTCAAAATCTGAAATAAAAAATGCAGGTCCGTATTTAAAAAAATTAGGTTGGCCTCTGTATCTCACAAACTATCGGCTAATTTGAAAATTTAAAAATACTATCGGATAGCGCTAATAAAGTGGCAATGAGAATGTGTAATTAGTTTTTTGATTTCCTAAAAAGTAACGCCAGGAAAAAATAAAATTGATTTTCAAAAAAATCCGTTTTTTTCAAAAAAACTCAGCAATCCTTGAAATTTTTAAAACTTTTTTGATGGCATCTTGGTGAACATCTATAGGCGCAACTTTGCCCCAATTTAACCATGTTCGTATCTATTACGTTTACCGAGATACCAATGCTCGTACCTCGAATTTGTAGCACCCTGTATAATATATAGTATTACTTGACTGCACTCAAGGGGGAGGTTTTAGCCTCCGAAGCCCCCCCCTTCCCATGGATCCGCCACTGCACGTACGTGTTCCCGTAGATACTTAAATATCTACAATTTTGTAAAAAAAAATAAAAGCTAACACATTTTTTGGACACAACAAAATAATATTAACTAAACAAAACTAAAAAAGTAATTTTTACTATATCACAAGCAAATGATAATTAATATTTACTCAAAAGTCATAATTTAGTCAAAATTCAAGATCTTTATAGGAGGTGCCTAGCCGACCCCCTCCCTCCGTTATTGCGCCATTGCACAAATGTCATTTTTTGTTATTGGCAGCGTTGCCAAACTTTCTTTTAAATATTCACATTTAAAGATATTGAGGTCGGGAAATCCCAAGCACACAGCGAAGGCGCGGCGGTAGCTGCCCCCATAGTTAATATACCACACATAGACTAGTTAACTTAGTCAATGGTAGCAGTGATGCCACAGGCCACAGAAGAAAATATTGACCACTGTTGCCAAAGTTATCGATTTTTAGCGAGCAGAGGCACGACAGCGTCTTCTAGTACAGGGTGTCCCATTTTCATATGTTTTATAGGGTTTTTTCATTTATGAGGTAAGGTTTTCACACATCACTGTACTACTTTTTTATGAAACTAAACATGCTACACATAGATTTGTCCTAACCTTATTAGTTCCTTAAATACAGGACGAATTTGAAAAAAATGCATTTTTTGCATTAACCTATCGAAAAGGTGAAAACTGAGTCCTATAGAGTTTGTCACGTAGAACTGTATGCTTAACTAAATTTTCGCTGGCAGCTGTGAGAGATAACCGAGATACAAGGGGAATCGAAAAATAAAACATTTTCAAATTCGCCCTGTATTTCTGAAACTAAAAGGGCAAGCACAGATCTGTATTTAGCACCTTTTGTTTTATAAAAAAGTAGTAGTGATTTAAAAACTTTATCTTTGAATCTCTACTCATGAACGAAAAACTCCATGAAACACACGAAAATACGACACACTGTACAATGTATAATATTAAAACCGAGTATTAATGATTGCAGGAATTTGCATTGCCAACCATTTTATCTTATCTCGATAGATGTGAATAGCTCCAAATAAAACATTTTTTAATCCTGTATATTACACTACCTTTACATACTGCAATGAACTTATCACCATAATATACCGTATCCTGGTTCATATTACTGGTAATTACGGTACAGTTGGCAACACTGGTTATCGGGCATGCCCAGTGGAAATAAAAATGTCCCTTATGTTGAGCACTTTTTGGCGATCACTGTATGTCAGAAAAAATGTCACAGTATGTATAGTATAATTGGGATAGATTATTTGAATGGAAAGTAGTGATGTAAAAATTCTAAGTAATCGTTACAAAGTAACAGTTACTTTAGGAGGACTCGAAGTAACGCTTACTATTTGAATTTAGGACTCGTTACTCGTTACTAAGCTAATTCGTTACTTTTGCGCCTGCAGTAATCGTAATCCCTGGAAATGCACGAACGAAACTTGATACTGAAATATTCCTTTCTTCGACGTAGGTCTAGTTGTTATCAATATGTTTATGTTTAAAGTGTTGACTTGACGCCGGCCGGTGTTTTGGATGGCAAATGTGTGATATTTTTATTACAATTATTATGATTGGCTCATGCCGACCCGGAGGCGGTCTGTCCCTTTGCCGTTTGTTGTCGCTTTTTATTTATAGAAAGAATTGTTTATTTAGATTAACATGTCTTAGATATTAATTAAAAATGGATTCACGTTAGTCACAAAAATGTTAATATCTGAAAAAGCGGAGCAAATATTTTTCTTCTTCAAAAGAGAATAGATATTTCGCCACTTACACTGTAAGAAAATCTACAAAATAAAAATAGTAATTTTTAGTAAACACTGCTGGGGGCGTTAATCCAAAGGACTTTTTTGAAGAGATGAATCCGCCACAGAGGAATATACATTTTTTTAATATTTCTACATTTTAACAAAAATATATACATTTTTTTAAAATTTTACTCTTTAATGTTTGCCTATTCTTTAATGTAATACAAGAGAGAAAATATAAAAAAATACTTTATATTTATTATACACATACTTTCTTTGTTTGATTTGTTTTCTTTTATTTTTAATTTTATTAACAGTACATAGTTTTATTTAACATAATCATTATAAAAATATACATATTATTAAAAACATATTATTCAGTACTTGAATACCGAGTATTGAAATTATCCTATTATGCCCTTACACTAGAAGAAAGTAGAAACCCCTTATAGGTTAAACCGAGCATGCAACGAAGATCGCCGCGCACAATAAGTAACGAAGTTCCACGTCAAGCCCAAGTCTTCCAACCTGTACACAAAACAACGATTATAAAGTAACGATACTAAGTACCAAAGTCACGAGTCTAAAGTAACGAGTCCTATTACCAATAGTAGTAGTTACGAGTCCATAAAAGTAGTTTACATCACTAATGGAAAGCACGAAATTTAAGTTAGTTTGTAAATATTCCCAGTATATTGTTAGTAATAATAATTTAGAACCAAATTTTTAATTTATCGTTTTTAGCAGGGGTTTGCTATTGACTTTTTTAATTATAATTTTTACATTTATATATATTTAACTTATTTTTCATTTACACCAAAAATTGTGATTTCAGTTTGTTTTTATACTAAATTATAAAAAATTGTTAACTTTTTATTTTTAATAGTTATTAATAAATTTGTTGTTATACATTTTTTTATTGTTCTTTTTAGCTGTCATCATTTCCAAGCGTTCGTTGTTTCATTTTGGAAAAGCAAGGTTCAAGGCAGGTAAAATTTTTCCTTTTGAATAAAGTACTAAATTGGTACTTTTTAAATACGTATTTCAATTTGTTTCAAAAAAATGTTACTGTGATTTACTAGGGTCGGCATTTTTGGTCTTGGGTGCCGATTTCGTGTGTACAAAGAGTTCGGTCAATTAGAGATGGGTTGTTATTTAATCTGTTATTTAGAAATAACATAACGCAACTGTTGCTAATTCTAATAAATAACAGATATAAAATAACGACACGTAGAGATCGACCGCTCGTGATACGAAGTCGGCGCTCAGCATCGCCACGAAATTTTAATCGGCTCGAAGCAATTCCAAAAAAAATACTAGTATCAAAAATCGCAGCTATTTCGACAACCATCGAAAAAGGACGGCCTAGATACAGGGACGCAGATAGCACAAAGTGGAGAACGCCGTATGGCAAGCGCCGCTGCATCGGTCAAAAATATTTCACAATTAAAAAACACTGATAATTCAAAAATAATTTCCATCCATAGCAGTCTAAAATTTGCGCCAGTGTCAGGTTAAAATAAAACACCCATTTTTGTATAATAGATTTTATTAGACATTGCCACAGGGCTTCACTTAATAATATAATATGTAAACAGTTTGTTTGCAGATGATAAACAAATAAGAAAAACAAACTCTTTTGCCTTTACTATCTTTTTTCTCTATCTCCCTCGCTCTTCGAACGGCTCTCAAACTATACAAGAAATAATGTGCTTATTATAAAGAAACATCGTTATATGATTAACACAAACCACATCGTCTAATAACAAACATTAGTCTGAAACCTGAAGCAAAAATTAGTTTTTTTGTTTACCTGAGTTTTTTACATTTTATCATCGTACTTTCTTTTCGGAAACGAACTATATAGAAGAACGCTGAATGTGCGGAGTCCGCTCCAAACGATTTTCAAAAAAAATACAGTCGTACGTCTGAAGTGGACTCTATTTTTATACAAATTATTATTGAAAAAAGTACGGTCCTGTACGGCCAAAGTAGTTTAAAAAAGATCGAACAATTTTATCAGACACGACACATCACTAACCTCAACCAATATCATTCAGCTTCCTTTTTTTGTTCCACAGTATGTCCCCCAATTGTCTTTACAAGAGGAAACACTTTTTTATTGTTAACATTTCGAGAATAATGCACTCTCAATAAGTTTTTGCTTCTACTAAAATGGTTAATTTCGTTTATAATTTTCCAAATTTCCATACCGTTTTAGAGAAAAATAAAAAATAAAACGCGTTTCTATGGTCATATCATTTCGTTGTAGATCTGATCTGTTGTTCTCTGATAGATGGTTATTATTAATTTTTATTAACGTCATATTTTTTGCTGTTTTAAAATATTAAAGAAGTATATTGAACTAAATAAATTTTGTACTTCTTTTAACATATTAAAACAGCAAAAAATATGGCTTTAATCAAAATTAATAACTACAATATGAAAAAAAAAAGGCGCCAGAATTGGCTATGAAATGGAGATCGCTGTCATTTTATATGGAAAATTATATGGAGACTGTCATGGATCGTCATTTCCAAGCTAATTGGACATCATTTTAGTTTCGATCATACGGCATATTTTCATAAAACTCAAACTATATTCTCATATTTTTTCTCTAAAACAGTCTGGAAATTTCGAAAAGTATAAACGGGATTAACCATTTTTGAACAAGCAAAAACTTTTATGAAGAATGCATTTTTCTCAAAAAGTTAATAAAAAAGTTTTTCCTCTTATAAAGACAATCTAGGAACATGCTATATAATGGTATACCCTATAATCAAATAAAAATTACGTGACAGTATTTTATGGTTGCAAAAAAATTGATGGTTCATATTTGCATAGTGTGACGTCATTTTGATTTGATCACAGGGTACGTCGGCAACGTGTAGTACAGCAAGAACCCGAAAAAAACTACCAAACATTTTTGCCAAAGGAAAGAACACTATATAACTTTGAAACGGAACTAAAATTTAACATTTTTTCTAAATAAGTGCGGTTGGGTCATCGGTTGCTCCAAAACGTTCATTATTTTACTAAATTGATGATTTCAATTCTCTTCAGAAGTAAATTTCGGAGTGCCTTTGTTCGGAGAATATTAGCATATATTAACACCTTTATAAATCAAAATATCTATTTTGTTTTTGGATTAAACTCAAAATTTACTTTGGGACTATTGAAAATAATACTTCTATTAAATAAAAATCAGGCTTGATGTTTTTTTAATGTTATTTTTATATTAAGTTAGGTTGTAATAGGGATGGGATCTTTCCGATATATCGATACATTACCGATAGATCCAAATTTATTATTGTGATTATTTTTTATTTATCTTTTTAAAAATCTGAATATTAGTTATTATTGATAGTTATCGATGAACCAATAACTAACGGTAATTTGATAGTTATCGATATGTCGATAAATGTCGACATACCGATAACTAAAATTCATCGTTAGGTGAATTATCGCTCATCCCTAGATAGATATGTAGCTTTTATTAAAAACAGAACGCCACAGAGCAAGCGGTGACCCAATCCAGTAGAAACAAAAATACCTACGAAGTAAAGATTGCAATTCTACGGTCCAACTAAAGAAATATGCTCCAAACGAGAATATTTCTATATTTAGACGCTTTTTCCGATCTCTAGACTAAAAAAAAAATAAGAAGAAACAAGTAAACAATAGATATAAGCTATATACATAACAAAGAAGCTAAAATGACATTACATATCTAATAATTTTTATTTATTTTTTTTTCTCGATAAAAATTAATTTTATGTTGGAAATAGAATATTTCGGTGGCAATAAAAGGTAAAATGGTAAATTAGCACGGACTTGGGTCTAGTCTTCGATTGGAAGTTCTTTTGGTTTTGGTTTACCGCCGAGTAGGGTTGTTCGACCGACGAGAAACGGCCTGTGCAGCTGTTGTCGATGTTGTCAAATTGTGCGAACGAAAAACGGCGCTCGAGCGTCCTTCACGATCTACGCCACTGACACAATACACCAGCTCGAGCATCTAGAGCTCTCGATAGTCCAATTTCTACCGGCAGACGGCTCTAGGACCGGAAAATTATTCAGCGAATGTTACCTATGTTTAGTATAAAATTTGATGTCCTAGGATTTAATATCACCGTGTGTAAAGTTTGATTCTCTAGGACTAACAACTAACAGACGCTTGTAGAAATGCAAAATTCTTCAGCAAGCTAAAAAAATGCTTCCACACTTACATCCATGTTTTGGTGTTGTGTCTTAAACTGATGTCTTAGGATTAATTTGATGCTCTAGGATCAAGAAGCAAATGTAAATGTAATAAAATTGTACAGCGAAAAATAAAAAGAAAGCTTGTGCTACGTAAAAAATGTATTTAGGATCATTCTGAAACTGGTGCACTAGGATTCCACATTTCTACATAAAATTTGCTGATGCTCTAGGGGCTAAGAAGACTATGTAGAAATTAATATTAATACAATTAGAGAAAAATCGTGTTTTTTGATAATTCAAGTTTTAATGAACACCAAATGTTCTAGGACATTTCAATATAAAATTTGATGTGTTAACACTACATACTTATGAGTGACAAAATGTAAAATTGTTCACCATTATATAAATATGAGGCTGGCTTATAAAACAATTTGATGCCCTAGAATGTCATACTCCAGGGTAAAATTTAATGCTCTAGGACAAACTGTTGTGTAACTATTTAGACAAAAAATTAGAGATTTTCCCTATGAGCGAGTAGCGATGTCAAAATTTTATTAAATAAGATAAACTTGTGCTATGTAGAAATATTTAAAAATTATAAGACACCAATAACTTAAAATTTAATTTACGTCCATTTGAGTATAAAATTTGATGTTCTAGGACTATTTCCAAGCACCTAAATGATAAAATTGGCTTAAGATAAAAATGCTTTAGATTATGTAAGAACACTCTACAATTAAATGCCCTGAACAAAAGGTCAAAAATACATATTTTAGTGCAAAATTTGATGCTCTATGGCAAACAAAATTTTTTAAGTTAAAATGCATGAAGGATAAAACTTGCATTGTTGAAAAATGTTCCTTAATTTGGTGATTTGAAATTATTGGTTTTTTGCATTTTAGTACAAAATTTGATGCTGTAGGATTAATAGGTTTCTGGGTATTTACCATACCGTTAAAATATAAATCCATGAGATAAAAAAACTTGCGTCTGTAGAAAAACGTTTGGTGATCTAAAATTTGACCTTTTTCTTACAAGTTGTGGAAATTTTATGCTATAGCACGTTCCCGACTATTTTTATAGCATTAAGATATTTGATGATGCCTTTAAATTGTGACGTTAAAATATGTATACTAAACTAAATGTAAAATTTGATTACCTAGGATTAATAAACTGACAAAAACTACAATTTAGTATAATCCTAGACAGTCTAAAATTGAACTTTTGCATTTTCGTGCAAAATCTGATACTGTAGGATAAACACCTGTTCCCGAGTATTTTTATAGCATCAAACTAATTGATAATACCTATCAGTTCCAGATACGTATGTTAAGCCAAATGTAAAATTTAATGCCCTATGATTATTAAACCGCTGACAGCTAAAATAGCAAGTGTTAAAGTGTCTAGTATTACTGCCGAAAGCTAAAATTCAGTAAAATTCATAAAAGATAAAGAGGAGCTCGGAATGCATGTAAAAACATTCCCCAATTAGATGATTTAAAAATAAACAGGTACATTTTAGTGCAAAATTTGATGCTGTAAGTAAAAAAATCTGTTCCCGAGCATCAAAACATTTGATAATGGCTTTAAATTGTCAGGTTAAAATACGTATGTTATAGCAAAAGCAAAATTTGATGTCCTAGGATAAATGGCAGCTAAAACAGCATTGTGACATAGCCCAAACCAGTTAAATCATTGTCAGGGAAGCAATTTTTTACAGAAAATTAGCCTATTTAGGAGCTTTTTCGCACAACCGTCTGTGCTACGTTAGAAATTGGACTAGGAAACTGCGCCCCGGACGCGGGCCACTCCCGGAGGTTTGGTGTCCGCCCGCGGCACTTTATATTGTCCTGGGGGCGCCGCCCCGCGCGAACGCGAAGAACCCGCGCGGGCGGCCTTGTGGCGGGGCTCAGATTTTCTGGATCTTCTCGCCGACGACCACTGGATTGTTGCGCCGAATCTCCTGCGCGCCCATCTCCCGGTAGTTGAAGCTGCAGTCGTGCTTGTCGCTGTACCGGTGCACGGCGCAGAACAGACCGCCGCATCGGCACTCGAAACCTGCGCAAACCAAAAAGAAATAGGTATATTTCCATAGTCAGTTGCCCTGGTGTGGGGCTCTTAATTTCGGGCATTAATTAATAATCGTCTGGGCAAACAACTTCAGAGTCCCACACCAGTTCAAATGACTTGGGAAATACTTTAATTATTGTTGAATTTACCGGATACTTTTCAAAAGCGGCACATTATTAAAAAAAAAAAAAAATATAAGTCGCTTCTTGTTTAACCGGAAATTATTAAAAAAGTATTTTACCTTACTTGATAGAAAATGACATATGGAGTGGTCAGAATTAAAATGGAGGAAGTCCAATTTCCTACTATTTTCAGATAATCGTCTTCATACGTTTATAGAATATTGTTTTTTCCAGTAGAGAAATGAATCAAGTCATACTTCTCGCATTAAGCAGCTATAGCCTGTTTATCCAAGTTGTTTTATTTTAATTAAGTAACATTAAACAATTTTAACTCTCATTTTCTCCATAATTACATTTTAGGACTTGCTTCAGTTCACTTCAGAATCCCTCATATATCATATGTCAACTTGACAGTTTCACTTTTAAAAATAGTATTTTAAATTTTTTAGATGCCCACTATCAACACACGGTATGTATCTTAGAATAAAAAGGCTAGGGAAGGAGTATAATATTTATATATTCATGCATTTTCAATAAATCAACATCACAAGCTCATCTTTGACAGTTTTGTTTGACGTTTCAATCCCCACATTTGAATTTGATTTAAAATGTTACAGTTTTGTTGGACTTCTCTGGACTTACTTTATGATATTTATTATTTATTCTACAATTGGTTTTGTTTAGAGGTAGTAAATCTAGAAGAGTATTGTGTGTATCAGAACTTAAATTAACAGTGACATTATTGCAAATTCCAGAAAGACTGTAAAATAGTTGTGCAGCGTGCGGTAGATCTCGGTCAAAAATTGAATAATGTCTGGTAAATAACTATATACACTCAGAAGCAGAAAAACGCTATGGAAGATTCTTCAGCGAATGTTATCCACATTTTCCTGTAAAATCTGGTGTCTTAGGATTTAATATTACCATGTGTTAAGTTTGATTTTTAGGACCGCTTGTAGAAATGTAAAATTTTTCGTTAAAAATGACCACAATTACATTGTGATAAATCTGATGTCTTAGGATTAATTTGGTGCTCTAGTATTAACAATTTTCTGAATATTAAAATGAAATAAAATTGTCCAGCAAAAGATAAAAAAACGATTATGCTACATAAAAATGTACTATGGCTAGATCAATCTGAAATTGGTTCACTAGGATTAAGAAGATTGTGGGTAGAAACTATTATTAATACAATTAGCTAAAATTCATGTTGTTTCACTAATTCAAGTTTTAATGAACTATTTGGTGCTGTAGGACTTTTAAACAATTTTATGTCGTAGGATGTCGTACTCCAGGGTAAAATTTGATGTTCTAGAACAAACTGGTGTGTAGATAGTTTCCCCATGCTTTAATTAATATTTGGTGCTATAGGATTAACGCATTTCTGAGTAGCAATACGAAAAACTGTTCAGTAGATAAAATAGTGTGATGTAGAAGTGTACAATATGCTCCCTCCTTAATCTTTTTATTGTAAGGTATTAAGGGTGTCTTGGGTGACTTACCGGTTAGTCCGACCTTCTTGCGACAGGTCGCGCACCTGTTCTTTTTCTTCTTGGAGTCCTTGTCGCTGTCCTTGTCGTCGGTGCCGCTGCCCGGCGAGTCCGACACGTCGGCGGGGGACGCGGGGCTCGGGGAGGGGGCGTCGTCTTCGAGGGCGGCGACTGCGGAGCCGCTCGTGGCCGAGGGGGAGGCTTGGAGTGAGGCGGACTGCAATTCCTCGCCGATCTAAAACAACAGTTTCGTTTTAATAATAATAGTAATTATAGATATTTATTTTAATAAAAGCCAGTATAATACAATGACCAAAGAATTCGAGAACTAATAACACCAGAGACCAAATTGTTACCATACCTCCAAACAGTGCTGTACCACATATCTTTCTTAACCTACCTGCTTGAAGAGATATTTATATTTTCGATAAAAGTTCTGACTACGCCTGTGGTGTATGCTGCTTATTTATGTGGTATCAGACTAATTAATTCCAAAAAAAGTTTACTACACACAACAAACTATTAAAAATCGATAAATTGTCGCTGGTGAGATATCCGTTTAACACTACATAGTAAAACTTTATTGTATAGGGTGTCCCATTTTCGTGTGTTTTATGGTGTTTCTCGTTTATGAGTAGAGATACAGAGATGCGGTTTTCACATTAATGTACTACTTTTTAATGAAACTAAAGATGCTACATATAGATGTCTTAGCCTCCTTGGTTTTTGAAATACAGGGCGAATTTGAAAATATTGCATTTTTCGATCCCCTTCGTGTATTTCGGTTATCTTATAACTTAGTTTAGTTTCATAAAAAATTAGCGATAATGTGACAACTGCATTTTTGCACCTCTATGAATAAACGAGTTATCCAATAAAACACAAGAAAATGGGACACACTGTGATTTGGAACACTGATTTGTTTAGATAATACTGGAGTACTCTTTTATAATTATGGTGCTAAGTCAGTATAATTATTACAAAAATAAATATGTCTGATATTCATAGGGTCTCTATAAATATGGATAGGTAATTGATTATATAACAATTTATAACAAAGTTGTTAAATAGGTGCTTCCTGGACACTAACTAAAATAAATGACTTGGTTTTACATGAAATTTCTGAATCTTTCAACTTTTTGAAGTGAAAGAACTGCAGTGCAAGATTTGACATATTTTACATTTTGTTTTTGATGGAATATCTATTATGGTTTCCCAGATCTTAGCGGTCATCCTTAAATTTGGGACACTCTGTATAATAAATTATTTCAATACGACAGTAGTAGACCAAGTCGAAAAAACTTTCAATTTTCTTCCAGGCGGACTCAAGGCAATTCTTCAAATTTGCTAGACTATAAGAACAATAAATACCTAGTTGTTTATTATACTTCTTATCATTCCGATAATAATAGTTCAATGGGACACCGACTTTACCCACTTTTTTGTAGTTCAAACCAGTATTGCATTGTGCGTCAATAAATAAACAAGCCATCACCGCATAATATACAATATACAATAAACAAACGCGTCTCAGTTCAAGAAATCGACAAACTTATGCGTTGCATATTATAGATCTACTGTGTCCCCCGTTCTTGAGTTATAACTCATCATACAGTCTCAGGGCTTTGACAAAAGCCAGTATCTGAGACGGTTTTACAGGTTTCTTCTCCTTCTCCGATATCAGTCGTACCAAAGTTTATGACAAGAATGGTTGTCGTCTCGGCGCACTCAGTGCTGAAGTGTTCTGGTCTTTTCGTCATTTTTTTTTAATCTACTGAGGTGTTCATTGAGGAGACAGTGTTAAAAACCCCGTGACAATCCTAAGATTGTTCTTCCTTAAATCAAGGAAAATCTTTGATTTTTCTCGGTCGTAAGTGCTTAAGACTTAAGAATTTTCTTCAAGCGTCTTAGACCTTTGGAGAATACGCATTCCAGGTTACGGATGGGGTCTACTAGGTTCTCGAATTTTGTTTTAAGTTGGTTTCCACTTGAGAAATAGAGCGGTTCTGATCCAGTTAATAGAGTTGTCGCTCCTTTTCTAGCTAGATTAGTTTCACATAAAATAAATAATATTTTTCGTAATTAAGTTAACTTTACCACTGCCAGCATTCAAAAATTAAAAAATTTTATCAGCTCTCTTAAACCTCCTTCACAACAAATCCAAGAATAAACAAATACCTTTTATTCTTTTTAAATCTTAGGCTATCCTTTCTTTGGGAACTTTAAAATTGAATAATTTTAAACAAATTCAGCGCTCAGCTACCTGTAACTGATCTTCAGCCTGATTCTCGGCGTTCTCTAGAAAGTACTGATCGCCTTCGACTTCGGCTATGCTTCCTTCCGAACCCGATGTCTTCGATGACGATCGACTCAAATTCTCTTTTGACATTCTACTACATACTTGACAATTTTGACGTGACATTGACAAACTGTCAATTCCGTCAAATATCTACCTGTTTCTATCAAAAACTCGTTTATTCAGGTAATACCTTTGAATAAGAAGACTAAGGAAGGAGCATATCAAAAATCTTAGGTCCACCGCGATGGGACTCAAATATGGCCGTCTTAAATTCCGGTTTATCAGTGCCGTTCTAATTTTATTTAAAAAATGTAAAACTATGATGTAGGGTAGACGTGGGGTAGACTCAATAATTTTTTTTAATTTTACGTTGTGAATAAATGTTGGTAGTTATTAAAATTGTTATAAAAACATATTATTATAATAAAAATAGATAAGTTTTAATAATTATTTATTAACACAAACATCCGATACGCTACTGAAGCAGGTAGTCAAATTGCCGTATCTAAATTCTTTGACATCTAATCTTTGACAAGTAGTAAATAAAAGCAAAAATGCAAGACAAAATATATAATTAGTTAATTTAAGTGAATTTCAAAAATGATCAGTTTACTACACGTATGTATATTATATAGTTACTTACTAGCGAAAAGTTGTTCCATTATTTCACTCGATTTTTGCCTAGATCTACCGCACGCTACACAACCAACTATTTTAGAGTCTTTTAACATAATATTATAACGGGTCAGTGTTAATGTAAGTTCTGCCACAATTTCAATCTAGATTGACCTTTATACAACTATCAGTAGTAGAATAAATAATAAATAACAAAAAATAAGCTCCGTAAAGACTGACAAATCCACAAAATTTCAAATCAAAATCAAATGTGTCAAATGAATAGTCAAACAGAATTGTCAAGGATCCCCACCCTAGAGTCCCTTTTTTCCGCCCACCATGCATGAATACATGGATAGCATTATGCTCCTTCCTTAGCTTTCTTATTCAAAGGGTAATACAATATTTTGTGGCGGTTACTGGTGTATTATACAGTTCCCATATATGCTCGTTATACAGGGTGACCCATCGAAAACGTTCCGCAAGGCATAACGGCCAGGGTATTTAATTTTTCAAAAAATCCAAAAACACGTCAATTTTGTTTGTGAGGGGGACAACTTTTGCCCCAAAAATGATTGCAAAATCTTCAACCCTCTAAGCGGGGGTGTCATCCCCCAATTTTTTTTAAATGGGAAGGGGAGTCAAGTGGTACCGCAATGAAAAGGGCTTTCTATTCTCTATACTTCCCCGTTTCGTTTTTGAAAATCGGTCGAGTCATTGAGAAAATATGAAGGATTGAAATTTGAAATGTTTATTTAAACATTTATCAGAGTAAATGATAAGGATAAATTCCTTCGACCAATTTGAAGTTTTTTCTTATTATTTCTAGATGTTTACGCATTTTTTCACTTCCTACAAGGTTGAACGATCAGGTGCGGTAGATAGCTTGATAGCTGTTCTGTGACTTGTGCGTTGAAGTTCTTCTCAATATCGTTAAACCGACCCGCAATAGAATTTCCAAAAATACCAGCCCACACGTTCAATTTCTGAGAGTTTTGTGTGTGCACCTGGTGAAAAACCGTGGGGTTGTCCTCAGTACAGTACCGACAGTTGTGCCGATTAACTACACCGTTCAAAAAGAAAGTACACTCATCCGAAAAACACACATTAAATAGGAAATTATTATCATTCGCCACTCGTTAACTCATAGTTTCACAAAATTGCAAGCGACGATCAAAATCGTCTTCGTTGAGTTCTTGTACCAACTGAATTTTGTACGGGTGGAACTTGTGTTTTAATATCCTTTGGACACTTGTACTATTCACGCCGGTCTCATTGGCTAATTTTCTTGTACTCAGCGTACTATCCATGACAACTTGGCCCTATACGAATACCTCCATAGCTTCATTTACTACAGTTTCCCTCTGCCTCTTTTTATTCATAACGGAACAAGTTGCGCGAAATTTTGCTACTAACTCGCGAACAATTTTACTATAAAGGTGTTTGGCAGGATGGCGTTCATTGAATATCTGCGCAACCCGATTGCCACATTCACTATTTTTAATAAAGTTCGATTATTTCCACTTTTTCTGCAAGTGAGTAATATTAATGATAATTGTTAAAAAGTTTAACGACATTGAGAAGAACTTCAACGCATAAGTCACAGAACAGCTATCTAGCAACTACCGCACCTGATCGTTCAACCTTGTGGCAAGTGAAAAAATGCGTAAACATCTAGAAATATTAAGAAAAAACAGAAAATTGGTCGAAGGAATTTATCTGTATCATTTACTCTGATAAATGTTTAAATAAACTTTTCAAATTTCAATCCTTCATATTTTCACAATGACTCGACCGATTTTCAAAAACAAAGCGGGAAAGTATAGAGAATAGAAAGCCCTTTTCATTGCGGTACCACCTGACCCCCCTTCCCATTTGAAATCAATTGGGGGATGACACCCCCGCTTAGAGGGTTGAAGATTTTGCAATCATTTTTGAAGCAAAAGTTGTCCCCCTCACAAACAAAATCGACGTGTTTTTGAATTTTCTGAAAAAAAAAAATTACTCTGGCTGTTATGCCTTGCGGAACGTTTTCGATGGGCCACCCTGTATATTACATTACATTACAGCGCTCGGCTCAAGTCAATCTCCGCCTTTATAGGAATATTGATGTATAAGAAAAAAAATCTAAAATGTTACCTGTAGAGATTCAGCTGCAGAAGGTAGTGGGCTCACTGTGGGCTGAGCCGTTGAGGTGTCACGGTAGGAACTGAGGCTAGCTGGCGTGTTCGTGGGCAACTGTTGTTTCTTTCTTAGTTGTTCCTAAAAAACACACATTAATAAATATAAAAAAACATCAATACTGACGGACTTAGCGATCAAGGCACATCCAAAACCGTTTGGTCTAAAAGCAAGAAATTTTGCACAAATATTCCTTAAGCGACGCAAGATTAGCAAAGGCACAGCCTTTACTATCTCATAGACAATATGAAGTAAATCAATCCGCGTAAATCATATTGAGCGCCTTATTGGAAATATTATAACGGGTGTTTCTCAAAAATGGTTGGATGGTTTCTCAAAAATGGTTTTCTCAAAATGGATCATACAGTATAAGGAGTTAAATGGAAGTGCAGGGCTCGGTTAGGTTCTGAATTTCGCCTTTTCCCATTTAAAAGTGGTTGACTGTTTTGTTTGAAATTTTTTGGTTATATGGTTTATGTTTTTTTATCAGCGTGATATTTTTTTGTAATAGTTCTATTTTTATTTGGGAATAAAGACATTTTATTATTATTATAACACATAAATTAGGATTAATTGACGTATTCAATTGTTTTCGGTCAATTCCCGTTTCACCAGAATTTACTACTACTTTTGATTTTTAAATGACACCCTCTGTATTTTTTTACTTTATTCGATAGAAAATGACACTCTGAATAGAATGACATATCATATGTCAACTTTTAACGTTATCGCTAAAAAATCGTATTTTAAATTTTAATCTAGAGTGCCGTGGTTGTGTTAAAAACACTTAATTTTTAATCAAGGAGTCTTGGAAAAATATACTTGATTGTCTAATGTTTTCGTGTTTTGTTCTGGCCGGTTAGAAGATGCCCAAATCGTATATATTTAATCATATCTCAATTTTTTCAAATGGAACAAGGGTGGCTCATTAGCATATTTGGAAAAAAGCATTTTTTACGAATAATTTGGTACCACAATAGTTGTCGAAAATGATTTAAATATATTGTTAGGTAATCTCTAGAATAAAAATAACAGCGCTTTCAGATGGAGCGGACCGTCCGCGCGGATGTTTTTTTTTAAGATAGCCGTCGACGAACTCATCCGGACGGAACATGTATGCTCCGGACGCGACGCGACCCATGTGGAATTGTTCATATAAACTCATGGTACTTGCTCGAAGTCGCGGACGCTCCGCTCCATCTGAAAGCACAGTTAGTGCGAATATTTTTGTTCGATTAGTAATGAGTTATATTGCAATATGAGAAAAAATGTTTTTTGCCTACATTTACATGCACGGCACTGATACAATGGTTCTTGGAGTGACATCAGTACGAAGCATGTAATAATGTTTTAGATTATCATTCACATTTTCAATGGTTTTTTTTTCGATTGAAATCGATAATTATTATTAATAATAATAAAACATCCCCCGTTCTCTCTAAACATTATCCACTCCACTTACTTTGTAACACAGGGAGCACAGTCCGTCCGTGGCCGGACTGCCGTAGAAGCCACATCCGGACCGACAGAGGGCCTGCATGGGGTTGGACTCCCTCTCCATGTCCGTGGCTTTGGGGGAGGCCCTTAAAACTTCTCTCCAAAAAACTAGTCGCGTCGCCCTACGCCGAGGGGAGCGATGGCGTGCGCCTCTGGATCGGGCGGCGAGTCTGCGCCCTGGGGTTGCGGTTGGCGGGGGTCAGGGGCGTGCCTCGATGCGTGTCACGCGCTGAAAACGAGAAAAAATCGGGATTAATTCGGGTTGGTGTGATTTAAGAGACTAATAATGTAAAAATTGTAATGTAGAAAGTGAAAAGTCAAAATTTGAATGGTGTCAGTGTCACAGAGAGACAAACGAAATGATTGTGGAATTAGGTTTGGATAATATACAGGGTGGTCTGAACTGCATTCGGGAAACTTGGGCATATTTTGCAGATAAAAATAAGTAAAAGTTCGTATAAATACGTGTCCTAAAATGCTTTTTTTAGAGGGGTGTAGAAGTTTCATTTTTATTTCGATTTTTTCCGAATAATTTCATAACTAACGTGGATATTTGAATGAAAATAGGTATACAAAAGTATTTGGGAGTTTTTTGACTTTTGACATGGAAAATTTTATTTCGATGTCCATATGACTCCTACTTGCAGGGAGCTCTACCTATAGTTCATATCATATAAACTTTTAGTCACGTGATTAAGGCGCCACAGCGTTGCCCACTTTCACATATTTTCTTTTAATCAAAATATTTTAGGAAACACAAATAAATTAAATATAAAAAATATATAAACAGTTATTATTGACATCAACAAAACTCACCTCCTTAACAGCACTTACGAGACATAAAAAGTAATTACTACCGCTTTCCCGTTCAAAATATTCTAATAAATTTGCGATGACTTTTTACGGCTACTAAGCTATCTTGTACCACTTCCCTCTAAAAGAGGTTCTAAAAATAACAATGTTCGACTGCAAGGTCTGCTAGTAAAAAAAAATTAAGCTTAAAATATCCCAACACAATTCATTTAAACCAAAAACTCGTAATACAAAACAAAACTGTCAAAACGAATGACAATGTCAGGAAATAAATAAATAAATGTGGCAACTTGACATCTTTTACAGCAGAGCTACCACCTAAATCCCGAGCGGAAAATATAAATTGCAGTTAGTCAGCCCGGCGCCGAATATGTCCATGGTAGTCAACAAAGAATTTAAAAATCGCGCCTCGATTACGTAACTAAAAGTTTAATTGGTTTGGTTAGCTCAGAAATTAATTGAAAAAAAACGAAACAAAAATGAAACTTCTACACCCTGTATCTCCGAAACGAAGTATTTTAGGCCACGTATTTGTACGAACTTTTTTACCGATTTTTATTGGTAATCTAGAAAGCGAGATATGAAAGTAGTTTCCAAAAATATAATAATATACTGAGTGTTCAATTTAAAACAAGAAAGATGCTACCACTTTTCAAATGACGCGGCAACACAAACAAAATATTTAAGAAAGATGGAGCAGGTGCTTTTATGTAAAAATCCAAATTTTCAAAAAAAAATCGATATTTTCTAATCGAGGCTTTTATACATCGAACTTTTCCTTTAATGTATCGATATATTGGTACTATTATGCATCCATCGATGCATCCCTAGTTGCAACTTCAATTATGCAAACTAAAGAATAACCGTAAAAATATTATTTAATATTATAAACAAATACCTGACACAAATATCGTATTATGTCTTATTTTTTCTCAGTGAAAGAGAAAGGCCAAGTAGACACTTTCTCTAAATTTTGTTTCATTTATACGTAGGTGATATGAAAAGTTTTTGATCTAGATAGTCAAACTACGTACAGGGTGTCCCATATATTTTTTTTATTTTCCGTAAACATGGCATGCCTTTATATAAAATGGCATAAAAACTGTTTACTACAAATCGGTATTTTGTTTCCAGCTAACAACAGACTGAAAGTTCAGGCTTCGATGTTTGCGCAGGCCATTCAAGCAGGGCCTTGTCAGACTAACGGCCTGCAGAGTCGCAGTAGGCCGGAATATACGTACCGGTAAACCTGCACAAACCAGGTTTTGTAACCAAGTAGTTAGTACCAAGTAGGAAAATAACTAGTTTTATGTAAAACTGGCCAGGTAGTTTTACACAAATGAAGAAGAAAATTAAAAATAAAAGATTATACGAGAGGCTGATAGCAAAAGTGGGTTAAAATTTTACTCTCGGCAAAAACGGTTTGCGTTTTTCAGAGGGCAAAAGCGGTTTAAGTAGCAATGAGAGCAAAAATGAGAGAAAGAAACTTTACCGTAAAAATGGGTTATAATTATATGCCACTTTTACTCTAAGATTAAAAATATTCCTTTTTTGTCCGAAGAAAAAATCGTTAATTTACTATTAGATAAAAAAATCTGTTTGCGTATTTGCCAGTCATTTTATTCATGTTCCTCTAGTTTTCTATACAAAAATAACATTTGCACCATATGCAACAAGTAGTGTAAAAATCAACTTTTTATAAGCTTTTATTTAACTTGCTTTGTATGTATGTTTGTTCGGGGCAAATCTTGTAAGCTAAATTAGAACCACTTCCTTTGATTGTAGGAAATTATACATTTTTTTACAAGGCATGACCAGAATTTTTGACAGCTGTTAAAATGGCGGCCAAAATGGCGCCATTTTTGAGGTTTTCGATTTTTTAAAATACTATTATAAAAAATTTATTATAATATAGGTATATTGTGGGTATATACATATGAAAAAAAATATGTGGGCGGCTATCTTGAAAAAATGACAGTTTAATGACATGTCAAAATTTCGAAGTGAACCGATTTTGATAAAAATCGACATAATATATATATATATATATATATATATATATATATATATATATATATATATATATATATATATATATATGGCCATGGGCTAAATATGAAAGAAGCCAAAAAATGAAAAGAAAAATTCAGCTGTCAGAATTGACAGCTGTCCCAAACTAATTTCAAAGTTGTCCGATTTTGATAAAAATCGATATATTGATGCCCCCTACCCCATAGTCGGTTTTCGTTTTATTTGTATCACATTTGAACTGTCAAATTTGACAGCTGTCGTTTTTTTAAGTTCTCCTTTGTTAATGAAAATCGATATACATATTATTAGGATGCCCATAGAAAGTTATTTAAGAAAAACCAGCATAACTAAAAAGTAAAAAATAAATTTTAAGAAAAAGAACTTTTTTAAAAACAAGCTTTTATTTAAATACACAAAAAAGAAAAAAAAACTTTTTCTTTAAAATTTTTATTATGAACTTTATAACGTCATTACATAATTTTAATATTATATTAAATCTTGTCGCGAGATTTGAGTGTACAGTTGCACTCATAAAAATCTGGTACGACAACTTTACTTTAAGTATATACAATATACATGACAATCTAAAACCTGTGTCTACCCTGTCTCATTTTGAAAGTTTGTCTTATGATACACCACTAGAAAAGGAATTACAAGATAAAGTTGTCGTACAACTGTACACTCAAATCTCGCTACAAGCTTTTTATATAATATAAAATTATGTAATGACGTTATAAAAGTTCATAATAAAAATTTTAAAGAATTTTTTTTCTTTTAGTGTATTTAAATTACTAAGAACATAAAATCAGTTCTATGAATTGATTTTTACAACGTTGTAGCTGGGGGGGGTTGGTTTGGTTTGAAAAATATAAAACCCCATAAAAGTATAAAAATATTATATTCTTCCGTATTACACGTGTGACACAATCAATGCAAATACGTATGTGGTCCCAGTCCGCATTTTCTTTTCGAAAAATCGCATAAAAAGAGGGAGTAATTTAATTTTTCTATGAAATATATTTTTCTTCAAATGGCATCGGCGGCGGCGGTCGTGTGTGATATCAAAGCGCGTGCCGAAGTCAAAGGTGCCGACCAGATATAAACTAAACAAGTTATATTCGGAAGTGCACATCTAGACAATGGAAATAATTTTTGTATAATTATATTCTTCACTTTTGAAAATTTCCGAGCCGTTAGGCTTTTATATTTTCCTATAACTAAAATACTGTGTTTTGTAATATCAAACTCATTATCTTATAGGTATAAAAATGTGTGTGAAACACAAAAAAATTATATAAACAGCAGTACAGCAGTGTGAAGCAAAAAATATAAATAATTACTATATCAATAGGTATATACCGTATGATAAAAAAAACGGCATCCAGTTGGCTTGAAATAAACATCAATGACATTCCCCATATAATTTTACATATAAAATGACAGCGAACTTCATTTCATAGTCATCGCTGACGCCGTTCTTTTTTCGGTCATATTGTATCTTTTAAAAGATTTAAATCTTTTTTAAAATAACTTAAGTCGTTAAAAAAGATTTAAGTATTTTAAGTCATCTTTCGAAATAAATGAAATGACTTAAGTCATTTGATTTATCGACTTAAAATCAAATGACTTAAGTCACTAAAATGATTTAAGTCAAAAAAAGACTTAAGTTTTCTGTGAGCTTGCAGCTCTGCTAGAGATGCTTTGCCATACTGAACAACACCATAGACAAGAAAGATAAACAACACACTAAAATAGGTGCAAAAACACGAAATAAAATTTAGTATGAAGTGCAGTTTTACACGGAGCGGAGCATTCGCTCAAACCGTCCGCGCTGCTGATCGTCCCTGTTGTGCCGTTTCACATGGAGCGGGCCGTCCGGCTTCCGCGCGGACCGTCCGTTTATTGAAGAGGTACTATGAGCTTGTATGAGTATTTTGACATGGGCGCGGATGGTCCGCCCGTATGATTTCGTCCAACAGCCATCCGTCGATCCCTTGCTTCGACGGATCATCCGCGCCTATGTGAAAGTATTTATACATTCAATACTCATGGTACTTGTTCAACCAATGGGCGATCTACAGGTGAAAGTACTCCGTCAATTCTTAAAAATACACACAATGGTCCACGATGGTCCGCACATCCGCTCCATGTGAAACAGCACTCAATACTCAATAGTATTATAAAAACGTCCCTTCGATAGTACATAAATACGGCAGCGCGCAGAGGTAAAAAGAACCATTTTCTTATCGTCTATCGAATCTACGTATTATTTTCTTAGCGCAAAACGGGTTAATATTTTATAGCTTTTTTGCCCTGAATATTTTGTCGAACCATTTTTGCGCTGATTAATATTCGATTCACTTTTGCCCAAAGTTGTGATGTATA